AAGGCAGCAGAGCCAGATAGAACTAAGAACAACAGACTTGCCAAAGAAAACTTCACTGAACCGGAAAAACTGCCATCACTGGAGGATGCACAAGCTCAGAGAAATCTCAAATCATAAGATAATTTTTAAGCTCAGAGAAATCTCAAATCATAAGATAATTTTTAACCAAATATAGTTAGAAATATAACTCTCACTACCACACCTACAGAAACCCTACAGTTTACCCTGAAAGGAAGGAAATACATGTTCGTATTTTGTTATGTTGTGACATTCATAGATTACTTTGGATAGACAGAAGTATAGCTTTAGTAAAACTTTTATCTGATCCAAAGGAAAAAAGGTAAAATTTCAAAGCTTCTTTGAAAAACTGAAGAGCAGTCCTTTCATCAGGGTAGATGGCCCTGATGCTTGAAAAGAGGAATGGACTTCCTAGTGATTAAGGAGAAACTCACCCTGTTCCACGTAGGGCTTAAAGCCCTCCCCACACTGTCTGCTGGGGTGTCTGTCCTGATTGTGCCCTTAAAAAGTCACTCTCTTCATTGATTTGGACTTAGACTGCATCAACTCTGAGAATTTTTGTTCCTGTGAGTGGGATGTGAGTCTGTGTGTGTGTGAGTGTACATGCATATTCCATTAACTACGCGAATGGCATGCTAGAGAATGAAGCAGCATAACTTCACCTAAACCAGAGGGTTGAGAAACTCTGGGGTTTTCTGCTTTATGTCTCTTGTGGCTACCCCAGATAGTGTAACTTGGAATTTGGCAAAGATACGGCTGCATGTTATTATATCTAATCATAGTTCTTGGGGAGGGATTCAAAAGTGAGAAGAGGACATAGTTTCCTTTAAAAGAGTGGAGATTACCTTAGGATCTCAGTATCTCTCTCTCTCTGTCTATCTCTATCTCTTCTCCATCTCTCCATCTCTGTTTCTCTCTCTAGAAGAGAAAGGCACACCTGAAATAGGGAAGTAAGTGTTGTAACTGGACAATGTCTATTACGGGACAGAATCTCTCCCAAATGGATTTTAATAATTTAGTCTTTTTTATTAGATTTTGGGAACAGCCATATCTATCATCTAAGTTTCATGGTTTTCTCTGTTTTTATCATTTGCTCTATGGCAAAATTGCTAACTATCCCCAAATACTCATTCTCCTCTTTTCACAGTAATACAGCCTCTGAATTTTACCTGGCTTCTTGGCCACCCAGAATATAGACAGCAGCCTCTCTGGCAGCTGCATGGGGCCACATGACTAAGTTGTGGTCAACAGGGTGATTGTGAAAGTAACGTGCACAACTTCCAGCCATGTCCTTAAAAAGACTCTAGTGGGATACAGACACAATGGTGCGCCACCTTGGACCTGGAACGCAGCTGCCTTGCAATGGCAGAGCGACAAGGTACTGGGTTCCCTGTCCATGTCGTGAAGGAGCACCCCCACAGCAGCTCAGACTTCCATATGGGAAAGAAACAAACTTCCATCATATTCAATCCGCTATTAATGTCGGGTCTCTGTTTCTTCTGTAGCTAAACCTACATCCTAACGAATATAACCTCCAGTTTATTCCTTCAATCATGTTTTGCATCAGTGGTGTGGTGAAGAATTCAGTAACAGAGTAGGAAAAAGTATTGTGTCCTTCTCAACATCACCATTCCACTCATGCCAGCATTACGGTAGCGGCATCGTATCATATGGACAGCAGTCACAGCGGCCAGGCAGCGATCACCCTTAAACAAGCAGAGCTCAGCACTAAGCCAAGAGAAATGGGCAGGAACATGTGCTACAGAGAAACAGCTCAGGAGAATAAAGAGAGAAACCCACCTTTCCTAAATAGAAATATATCTAGATTTGGACAAATTGGGTTGGCACACAAACTTTTGTGAAGGACAGATTTGAGATTAAGCGTCCATTCAACTGCTGACTAGCTGTATGACCAGGGACACGTGACTTGCTTTACTTACCATGAGTTTCCTCATTCTGAAATGGACTTAGAAACAGCTACTTACTAAGGCTATTTTATGGATTAAATTAAATGCAACTTAATGCTTGGCAGAATGCCTGGCATATAGTAGGTGTTGAATAAATAGCCTTTTTTTAAAAAAAAAAAATTTGTTACTCCATCCAAGAGAAAATCATTACTTTTCCTCAAAATACAGGCTTTATTCATTCCTGCTTTGGGTTACAATATACTTTCGCTCCCCTAAAGGGCTCTTCGTCCTCCCCTCCCTGCAATCAAATTCTAGACAGAATCGTGTCTCCCTCACAAGGCCTTAGCTGATCATTCTCTCTCTTCGCTGATTTCTATAGATGTATTGTCTTGTCTGTATCACTCATTGCCACTTAATGCCACATTGTTTTTCATTGTAATTTAAGCCTCCGTGTATGTTGTTTGTCTTCCATTAGAGTCTAAAGATTCAGAGTATGTTCTTTTCCTTCAGATCACACACACATCCTATTTAGTCCAACATGGTGTGCTCCAAAATACTCATTAAAGGGATAAATGATACCCTTCAAACAAATGTGCATGTGTAGCTAACAGAGAGCCAAGTAGAATAAATGTCATTCTATTCATATACTGAGTAACCAAATGGCAGAATACCTTAAACTTTAAAAATCAAATTAATGGAATTTTGACATTTGCAATCATGTGCGAAGCCAATACCACGTACTTTAAATTTTTCTTTGACAAGAATAGTTCCCTCCCTAACAGCAGGTAGTTCTAACTGCATACTCAGCTCCCTGCAAAGCTGTTTCCCCTGCCATTTCAAAGCCCATGGTGACACTATATTTTATTGGCTTTAATTAAGTAATATTCATTAATTTCTTTCTCAGCCATTGATGTGCTAAGACTTTAGACATCAAAAATAAGCAATTCAAAGAATTGCCAATCTAGTGTAGTTTGCTACTGAACTGGTTTTTAGTGAGCTATTACACTAGTTTGCTTGGTCTGCCATAACAAAGTACCATGAACTAAGTGGCTCAAACAAGAGAAATTTATGGTCTCACAGGTCTGGAGACTATAAGTCCAATATCAAGGTGTTTGAAGGAATAGTTTCCTTCCGTGCCTCTCCCCTCGCTTCTGCTAGTTTGCTGGCAACTCTGGTGTTCCTTGCCTTGTAGAAACATCACCTCAGTCTCAGCCTTCATGTTTGCATGATGTTCTCCTTGTGTACATGTCTATGTCCAAATTTCCTTTTTTAATAAGGACACCAGTTATACTGAATTAGCTACTCCTTCCCCTGCTAGTCTGATCTCAACTAATTACATCTGCAACTACTCTATATCCAAATAAGGTCATGCTCTCAGGTACAGGGTGTTAGGACTTCAACATATGAATTTTGCAGGGACACAATTCAACCCATAACAAACCCAGGGGAGGACAAGAGACATCTGCATCCATTGGAATCTAACTTCATGCGAAGGTATAAACCATTATTTACTCTGCACATTAACTGTAACAGATGTTTTCAGTATGTAAGTCAATTTATGTAAAGCATTTAGAATAGTTCTTGGCAATATAGTAAGTGCTTGACAAGTGTTAGCTATTAGTAGTAGTAGCATTCATATTACTATTATTTAGATATTTTATTAGTATTATTTAGATACATTAATAAATCACAGAATTCAATGTTATGTCAAAAATAATTCACCCTAAGCTATGAGTATCAATAACAGTTGAACCCTAGAAAAAAGTGGTGGTAAAAAGACAATGTGTCAAGCTTGACAGCAGTTGGCCATAACTGGGAACTTATCAATTAACCTTTCGTGATCTAAAATTAATTAGAAATAAAAAAATTAAAGTATAATGAATTTATTATGTAAATATTTTCCTGATGTATCTATCCATCATGTGTTTTTGCTTTTATTGAAAAACAGTAAAAAAGGAGGCAAGAATGTGCCAATGGGATACATTTAATGAATAATATATGCAGCCCTATACATTTAGAAAATATTAGAAGTATAAAAATAAAAAAAATGGTTATTTAGCTCAAAAGCTGGAAGATTTTTTTAAAGGATACACAAATGATTAAGATGATCAATTGTATCTTATATGTATTTTATGACAATTTTAAAAAATTTTAAAGGACAGGAAAACCAGTGCAAATATTCCCAAAAGCGGCAACATCCATGTTGATATCTATAAATTTTTGTAACTTCAATATAAAAGAAGTTTATGCTAAAACATGAATAGTCAACTTATTCACAAGGGGAAATGATTTTTAGGCAAAATGAGATTAGGAAAATTCACTTGCTTATAAGTTTACAAGGAGAAAAATTTACAGGTGTATATTCAAGATCTCCTTAGCTTTAAAAGGAGGCCCTACCCTATAGGTACAGCTAACTGAAAGCTTTGGTTTAAGGAAAACAGTACTGAGTATGAGTATGAAGAGAGATGAACTATGAAGTCATAATGTGAAAATATCAGCTGTTCAAAGCAGTGCATATTTAATAGTGAAATGAATGATGAGATTATAAATACTATAGGAGTTTGAGATTATAAGCACCATAGGAGTTTGAAGTGGGACATCAGTGCTAGTGGTAAGGACCTGGGAAGCCTTCCTTACTGAGTTAGGCTGTGAACTGTGTCCTTTAGGACTCCAGACAGGCAGCAATAAGTGATGACATTATACTTCAGGAAAAGGAAACAGGAGCAGCAAGATTTTGAAGGACAATGAGCAAGCAGAGAATCAATAGATAAAGCGTCACATTGGTGTGGCTGAATTTATCCATCCACTTTTCCTTGGAAGTAGTTTCTAGTGGTTTTAAATAGGTTCATATGGTCCTGGGAGACGTACCAGTGTCCTGAGATTTCCATTTCTGACTCAGCCCCCACAACCAACCTGGAGAACAGAAGATGTTGAGAGAAAGAAGCAAGAACACAAAGTGAGATTCGTTATGCATGGTATACCTGCCATATCTTACCAACCCAAATATCATGCAGTGCTTCAATCACTCTTTTATTTCTTTATTTTACTTTAAAACCTTACTAAAAGTTGCATTACCATGGTACCCTCAGCAGCATGATACACCTTAATGGCAAAGAAGTAGGTTGAGGAAGAAAAGAGGTGTTTTTCGTTGCTTAGATTGTGTTTGTGACTAAGCTGTGGATCCTGTCTCCAATCTGTCAAAGCTGCCATGCTCCTCCAAGCAGCCGTGTATGCGAGTCCTTCCTGGTTACCTCTCTATCACAGCTCTGCTGGACTCTAGTTCATCTCTTTGCAGTTGTGTCTTCCCCACCAAGCTGCGACCTCCTCAAAGACAAGGGCCCTGTCAAGACTCAGTTCTGAAGCCAGACTGCCCAACTGTGAATCCTATCACCTCTATTTCCTATTGGTGTGACCTCAGGTAAATCACTTAACCTCTCTGGACCTCACTTTCTGATTTATAAATGGGGATTGTGAGACTATGAGTTAACACAGGAAACATACTTAGAGCAGTCAGTGCCTGCCCTTAGCAAGCACTCAAAATACACTACCGATTTGATTCCCCCAGAGCCAATCTCAGCATCTGAAATACAGGGTGTGCTCAGGAAATAGTGTGGAATTAATTAATCAATTAATTAACACATTTCTTGATGAAAAAACTTTTACTCTTATTTGCATCTCGCCAAGAACCTAGCACAGTGACTAACAGATTTCTATTCAGAGAAAGGCTGCAAGGCAAAGATTCTACCTAAAAGGAGAAAACGAAGTCATTGGGATGTCATTCCAGATCTTCATGAGAGATTTTATTTGGCCAGAGATCTTCTCTTTGAATTTTCCTGTTCAAGCATTTCTTTATTTACCTCTTTAATCCATCAACACATGAGATCTCTCTGAACTTTACCTCCTACGAAAAAAAGATATTTATAATGGAGGGATGAATACAGATGGGAATCTGAAGGAATCCATCCTCCACTCCTAAAATCTGTGTTGATTTTCTACACTATGTACAATGCTATCACCACATCTTCCTCAGAAGTTTTGGAGTCATTTTTTAATAACAACTCACAGAAGCATTAGAATTTTGGAGCTAATCATTGGTTTGTGAAAAACGCCCAAGAATCAGCAATAAGCAGGTGTAAGCATGTCCAGAATGTTATGGGTGGAGTGTAGGTGATGGGGATAATTCCACTCTGATTAATACCAGTGTTATCTAAAAACAACCTATCCTAAACAAGATTGCACTGGTTTTCAGTCAGATATTTGTACTGTATCTCATCTAAGCATTCCTACATAAGAAAGAGAACTTTCATGGACATAAGGATGAGACTTTAATTCCAAAGAGTGAAATAAAAGAACACAGGAGTAAAATTTGAAAAGAAAATATATGAATTTTAGTTCTAACTCCTCTTCCTTGTGAACCATATGACTTGTCCCTAGTCATTTAATATCTCTGAGATGGGACAATGGTACCTGCCTTGTCTACGTAGGGGGATTGTTGTAGCCATTTATTCATTCAACGAGCATTTATTGGGTATCTATTATGGACCAGGCTGAATGAAAAGTATTAGGGTAAAAAGATAAACTTGATATGCTCTCCAAAAGAAACATGTTAATATAAACTGCACCGTGGATGGTATCATTACATCATTATACATATGTTTGCATTTCCTATTTAAGGATGATAAAAATAAAAATCTTTGAGCAGGAGTTGAGCTCATGGATTGTTTTACAGCCTCCTCCATAGGAAAGTATTCACTTTCATCCCCATTTCCTCCATATTTTGATTTTACCTCCCTGGAAAGGCTTTCTCTGGCCGTCCTATCTGAGGTATCCTTCTACTCATTGTTTGTTTGTTTTTTTAAACTATGGCACCTGTTTGTTTCCTTCATAGTAAATATCTGTAATGACATATGTTTGTTTCCTTGTTTATTGTTTATTTCTTCCACAAAACATACATTCCATGAGGTCAGGGATCTTGTTCTCGTTGTCTTATTCTCAGCACCTAGTATAGTACCTGGAGCATAGTAGGGGCACAACAAATACTTCTCCCATAAATGAATGAATGGATAGACAATCACATTACAAAGAGCCAGCCCAACTGGAGAGAAATAGGTGTGATACCTTAGAAATACTGAGACTGAAAATGAATGCATGAAGATTTTGGACTCAAATTCTTGGTTAGTGTTAGTCTGCATTTGTTGTCTATTCAGAGGTATAAGAAAACAAATGATTCATCATATACTTACTATTTTGTTCAATTCATACTAAAACAATCTTCTCAAGAGTGTGTCATTAATCCCAACTTCCTGATAAGTAAACTGAGGCTTAACAAGGACTCTAGCTCAGGGTCTCACAGTTGGTAAATTGCAAAGCCTGTTGTTTTGGGTTTTTTTCACCACTTCATCCCTGCCGATTAATAAACTACTCCTAATCTCTCCCTTTAGACCCCAGGAATAAGAAAGGAGAGAAGGCAGGAGGAGAGAGATCAAGGCACAATAGTTCTTGCAGAGTAAGGAGATGAGAGTTGATAGTAAGCAGTAAAAATTCACCTCCCCAAAGATCAGAAAACATTGAGTGAAGTGTCCCCATTCCATGTATGAAAAGCCCAGAGTAAGTGATTTTTCCAAAGTCACAGGCTTCTGCCCTGGGTATCTCTATAGTCAACAGTGACTCCCCAGTCTAGACAATATCCTGTTACTTTCTTTCTCTGCTTTTTCCTTTAGTCTTTTCTTCCTCTATAAGGAAGCTATTTAAAAAGTACAAAGACCAAGCAAGAAAAGATAGTGTCACTGTGTTCACAGAAAAATGATTTGGCCTTTAATACAGCCTGAGCTGGGTACTTTATAATTAGGTTTTCATGCATGTATATTAAATCCTCCTTTGGAGAATGGAGCTATGGCCCAGAAGTATACAGAAAATCAATTTTTGGCAGAATTTCCCTGAGAGTCGCAGCTATCCCCTTTGTAAAACAGAAACTTCAGACCGAAGTGGTTTGCAAAAACTTCTCTAGTGGTGTATGAGCGCCCTCTGACGCCCAGAGGCAGGGTGGCTTCAATCTCGGACCTGGTTACAGGCTTGATAACTTAACCGCATAATGTCATCAAAACACGGAGCCATCCACTTGGATTCCATAGAATTCCTTGTCAATAATGTGTAGCCAAAAATATCTACTATAACTGCTAAAAACTTCAGTTGTAAATTGTATTTTAATATGTTTCTATATAAATTGTATTTTATACTTGTAGCCTGAGTCTTATCAAGGCATAGCTCCTGTTCCACATGTATATTATGTCATCTCCAACTTCATTCATTCAACTAATTATTTGTTGGGCACCTACTATGTGGGACATTCCACTCTTAGTACTTCAGAGGAAACAAAAATGAATAAAAAAGAAAGGAAAAGAATCCCATCCCAAGGAATTTCCACTGTTGCAGGAGAAAGAAAACATCTTGACAACTTATGGCAAAAGGTCAACGTAAGTGCAAGTGTTATAAGAGAGGATTGAGAAAAGCTCGAGGAACATTCAGAGGAGGACCTGCTCTCTTACAGCTAAGGAGATGCAGAGAGGCTTTATTTCACCTGGGTAAGCGATCACTCGGGGACACTGCTGCACCTGGGGAGGACCATTTCTCTCCTTGAGACTAGTGATTCAGCAAGGGGAGGGTTGTGGTAGGTAAAGACTGGCTTCAATACTGACACCTGGGGCTGGGGAAGTAGGGGAGATGCAATAACACAGAGAGAAGGGCAATGCAAAGGAATGCAACCCAGGCGCAATAAGAATTCTCTTCTTTTGTGATAGGATAAACCTCCAGGTGCTGATGAAGAGCGGCCGACCAACCCATCAACTGACACCTAAGATGGCACAGACGACTATGAGCTCCAGCTGTGGACTCCTCACCCAGAAGATTTCTCCCTCCATGTGGGCTGCTGAGACATTGGACTTGGGCTTTGAACTAAATGGTGCCTCTCTGAGGAAGAACGAAGGCTCCTGAACCTCTGCCCTGACCATGAACTTAATCAGAGGTGCCTTCCTTCCATTGCGTTCTTGCTGGTTCACTAGTGGTCTTTTAGCTGGATGCAAGTATGTGGGGCCATACAAAGGCTTTGAGGGGACTACATGGGCCTGGACACTGTTAAAAGAATCAATGTCCAGATCCTTAGCCTTCATGTGTTTTCCTAAAAGTGACTGTCCTAGAGCAGGTGGGGCAGGGTCACCTCTGTCACCACCCCCTTTCACAGTCCTCCTCTCCCTCCTTAGAAAGAAGAGGCACAGCCTTCCCCCAATCTTACTATGGAGCATTGCCCCAGGTTGGGAAAGCCCCGAGACCACTGTCTGTAGACAATTCGAGAAGCATCACCCTGAGGGAGAGTCCTGTGAGGGCTAAACAAAGCCAGTAAAATAGGAAACACTCAAGGAGGCAAAGTCTTATTTCATTCAAATGACCAACTCAAGTGAGTCTCTAAGCTTTTTTCTGTATTCCTATCACTTGTACTTTGTTGTCTTTTCACCTCTACTTTGGGATGCAAATCAAGAAGTGAAATGGCTGTCCTGGGAATTTATTTAGATGGAATTTTAAAAGATGAAGAAAGCCACTTTTTATCAGGGAGAAAAAAATCCTATCTTGGATGTTGGGTTGACAATGAGGAATGGTTTTGTCAATTAATTGCATGGTGGGCATATTCTATGAATAGATAACTTACACCTGCTGCTTCAAAAAAATATATTTGAAGCGCAGATATAATATGCAATAATCTTCTAACTGTATCATTTATAACTATTTAAGATTATGATTTAAAAATTTTAGATGTCAAATATAATTATGAGGCAATACATAGGTTTTCAAATTATTTGGAGGTAATGCACATCAAAAAAAGAAAGGAAGGGAGGGAGGAGCAATGCATTAGAAAACCAAAGTGAAAGTTACCTAAGCCATGTCCTGTTGTCATTTTTAATGGTGCTAGAACCTGGGCCGGCTATCGTGAGATTTTGTGCTTACAGGATACTTGATCCTTAGCTGAATGTCCACAACCCTGGCTCTCATACAAGAGTTCCTCTCAGGGCTCTGGAAGGTGCGGGCAGTTCAGGATCTCTTTGATAACACTTCAGCCCAATTTGGGCTTTGTTGTTCATTTATAAATATTTTCTACTGTTTATTGTTTCTTTCTTTGACTTCCTTTTACTAGTTTAATGTCCTTTACTTAGTGACCAAAT